CGGAAAGAAAAATAATATCGCGAGCCGGTATTCATTCCTTTTCCCGATATGTATCGAGTTTTCCATTAGGGACTTCTTATTTTAATCGAATGCACGCGGAATCGACGAAAACACTTCTCTCCGTTTCGGCATATAAATCGATGCTCGTTCTTTCGCGAATATTTCGAGTTCCGCGTTAAGAGCCGTCCCATTTCAAGAGAATAATTACTGTCTGGCCGGCATACGCAGACTGCCTTTGAATCCGAATGCCGTGTATCGAGCGATATATACGTGCATAGGCCGCTCGGCGGCTGTATTTGGTATCACCTGCAAATAATGTTAGAACTTGAAAGGTCTTTGATTTACAAAGAGTCGGACTGCAACATTTCCCGGCGTTCCCAGAGTTTTACTTTGTATTTGTATTTGCGCCCGGCTTCTAAATGGGATCGTTGGTTTATTCGCAAGTTTATTCACACGTGGCTGAGTACGGACCGACTGACAATGAGTAATTCGGAAAAAACAGACTGTACAGAGGGGAACGCGCGGCGAGTGGTGGGAATACATCAAAGAAAACGTTCGCACGCGAACGAAACGATTCGGCTGATTAAATTTACAAGTGAATTCGAATTCCCATCGCACGCTCAGAATGATCCCGCGCTTTTTTGTTGGCAGTCCGCGGTTGCCGACGAAATGGGAATCATTGAACGTTATCGATATCTCCCCGCGGTAATCGCTGGCATAAACGCTCGCTTCGCTAATCGCGTAATGCTGATCTAATTCCGCAAGAAATACTCCCTGCAATATCATCGTTTTCTCGTCGACTGGTCATTGAAAATTGAAACTACTTAATCTAAAAATCGTTTTAAATTATGTACACGGAACGTGCTAACGATAAAATTCGTTTGTAAGATCGTATGGAATATTTTAACAATTTATCGCCTTCTCGCGAAATAAAAGTCTCCGAATAAAAGTTACTTTCGTCCGAAATAAATGTAACAACAGGAAAAGTGTGCGCCGGCAAATATTATTAATACTTTCCGACGACTTTAATCTCTCGGAACAAACGAGAATGGCAATGAATGTCTGCGACCCGACCGAATTTTCGTAGGTATTAAAGTCGACGAAAGAAAGAAGGAAAGACTCGTTTCCATTCCGCGTTCCACGGATCTCTTTACAGGCGAGCGAATCATATAAATAATAGGCAAACCCGTGTTAAAAAGGACTTCGGATCTGGACAGATCGGCAAAGTAATCCCCCTGCCGAAGATAAAACGAACGAAAGATGGATGATCATTTCAAGTCACATTTTTATTTCTACGTCTTTTTTTCAGGAGGAGTTCCTAAGTATCTGTCTTCCATTTGAACGGGAACTTGGTAAATCCATAACAGAGAGGAAAGTAGATACACCTCGAAATGTTCGCGGCTTATGTCGAACGGTTTTGCGAACTTCTTCTGGTCGTTGCTCTCTCGCCAAAGATTTTTTTTATTTACTTTAATGAACACGGACAAACTCCTAACTTGTTCGGAGCACCTTCCTGATTTCGATCTACGCCGCGTTTTCTGCGGCAACTGCTTTTATCATTCTCGGCCGCGAAAGTTTCTCGCGTTCCAAAATCAAGATCCGTGTACAATTTTCATGAGATTTCGTAGAATCCCGATCTAAAATTGATTCGGTGAACGTCTCAGAATGATTCCAGTACCGTGTTAAGTTTGTCCGATCGTCTTAGCGTTAAGATTTCCGTCGAATGTCTTCCATAAAAGTGCACGCTCGGGATAATGCTCCCGCGACAGCTATTAAATTTTCGTAGGTAAATATTTCGAATACGTGTTGGAGTAAATGCGTTAATTCGGTGAATGTATACGCTTAGTCAATGTATGCACATACTAATTCGATAAGCAAATGTATTCGCAAGCAATGAAATTTAAACGATCGCTAGTAGACGCATACATTTTCATGCGTGATTTAAACGAAACAACAAACCAAACGAAACCGCATTGCTCGAATCTACACTTTCGTCGGCAGACCTGAACGTTGTACGTAGAATCTCGTCGATCGTTTCGTAATTACGCCATTATTATTAGACGGTGGATTTTTAAAGCTGAAATCAACAAATTTTGTTTACCGACTGAAAAACTCTTGCGTAGAGATAATATGAAAATATTATTAATTTTCCGCAGCGCGTATATTTATTATATTTGCCCGAAAAATTTCACCCATTTCGTTGATAAATATTTCACATCTTCGCTGCGTGTTTGTTTAAATCGAACGATCGGATACGGGAGGATATACAAATATTACAAGACTGAAATAATGTTACAAACATCGATACAAATTTAAATAAAACCGATTCGTCGATTCCTAGCAATTCCCGAAAAATCTCTGTTCGGCGCGAAAGGATCGCGGATCTTCCGGCAAAGGATCTTCAAATCTTCAAAGGATCTTCGGGCAAAAGACGAATCTGCATAAATTGTATCTACTCGCTGTTTGAGATCTCACTTGCTCTATTTTGCCATAGCAACTATATCCTGATCGCAAGCTCGCCTCGCGAAAATTGTCACAAATAGAAAATAGAAAGTAATTTCACTTACGATCATCGACATTCTCTAAATTATTTATCTTTATTGGAATGCAATTGCTTCAGTAATTGGTATGAATGAGTGTAACATTGATAATTATGGCTGTCGAAAGAGTAGATATGCTTCAGTGTGCTTTGTCTTTTAATCCACTTCCTGAGAAAGCTCGACGAATACAAGTATGGCGTAAAAGTAAAAAAAATTAAAAAGCAAGGATCCAAGTGCATGCTATTAAAATTTATTAACGTTTATTTCATCGTCGTTTATTTCTGAGTTTTAAATATTATCAAAAGAAGTTGTTCATTTATATCGTATTAAACAAGCTTTTACATTCATACGAGCCACGCGTTCGATCGACGATTCCCCAGGATTTGAAACGATTCGAACAATTAAAAATCTCACGCTTTCTCAATTTCGCTGCGAAAATCCGTGCTAATCGCATCTTTGTCACGAGGGAACGCGTCGCTCCGGCCCACGCGCGAAAGCCGTCGCGACAGAGTCGCGGAGCTTCTCAAAATCCAGTGGACCGCGCGCCCGGTCCATTTCCCCTCGAAATAATGCTATCGGTCTAAATCGAAAAATAAAGCGGGAATACTTTATTCCGTGTGCGCGGCGTAACATTCGGAATGCAGGATACATTTTTCTTTCCGCAGGCAAGGTAGTTTCCTGCGGAGGAATATGGCGCGAGCAACAGTCGGGCGCGAATAAAAGACAAAGAGATGATTTATGCGTGTCCCCTCTCCCTCCCGCCGTCCCCCCACCACTCCCCCGCGCTGTCTCGCTCGCCGCGTCTCTGCCCCACTCCTTCTGCCATGCGAATCAGAATGTTGGTATTACTTGGTGTTACCGTACGGAACGGGGGTGAGCCTGTATTTCATGGTGACGTCATCGGCATGCCAACAATGCAGGTGAAACGACAGGCTCTCGCGCGCTGTTTCCCCGCATACACGCGTTCTACTCGTTAAGTAAGTTTGAAAGCCAGCCGGTGATAAATTTTCATTGCATGTCCATCGTACCTCATATATTCCTTAACACTCTATTGACTTCGTATAAACGCGGGTCGGAAGCGCACCTTCCCTTTTTTTTCGCGCTGCTCTTTTTCCGTTTTGTTTACTTTTTCTTTCGCGCCCGGTGTCAGCCGCATCGCGCCGTACCCGTGCGCAGAAACGCTATTGACAACGGAATGATACATCGAACATGATGTTCAAGTTTTAGACACGCAGCCGCCGCCACAGCCAATGTCGGGATAGGGGCGTCGACTTGGATCCAATTGAAAACGCTGTTCGACAGACAATTTACGGATCCGCGAGAACGTAACGCGCTCGCTATTCTGCCGCCGAAAAAAAAATTCGGTCGAGTGTATCTTTATAGCGTTCGAGGCTGAACGGATCGCGTGGGAGTTTGCCCGGTGGTTGGTATTCTTGTACAGAGAAGATGAATATTAATTTGGAAACGTTTTTTTTTCTGGTTGCCGCGTTAGCATCGGAGAGAAAATACTGGATGATAGCGTATACATTATTGGAGTGCAAATCGGATGCGTTTCTAGCAATTGTTTGCGTCCAGTCGAATTCGTGCGCAGTTTTATTGGACCTCCGCAACGTTGCCTAGACACTGAAAACAAGTTACGCTAGATCAGGGGTGTCAAACTCGCGGCCCGAGATGAACTTTTTTGCGGCCCAGTCAATATATCCGACGGAAAGTAAAAATAAAATAGAAATGTGAATTAGAAAATTTGAAAGTAGTCTCGGCCAATCAAATTTCTCCCGAAATAGGAAAGATAGTATCAGAGAAGAGATGTCAAGTATCAGGACGTAAACAATAATTTAACTTTATATATGTTTATTACAATGTACTAGTCGAAATAAAAATATTTGTTTCTATGAACATTGATTTTGTTTTGCGGCCCACCTAAAGTTAAGCATTGTCTAATTGGCCCAAGTCAGCTTTTGATTTTGACACCCCTGCGCTAGATCATTGTTGGCCTATGAATTAGACGTTCGCGTAATTCTAGGGACGATTTCGAAAGCGCTGGAATTCGGGAACAGTTTGTTGCTTATCGCAGTTACTTTTGCGATGAGAATGTAATAAAACATTGCACGCGGTTCCACTTGAATAAACGAGTTTAAGATTTGGCTCGTTGTCGCGATTTCGAAGCAAAGATTCGTTCGAATAATTTGACACACAACACAGAATTTCAAATATTTTTCGCAGCGATAGAACGAACGATGATTTTTAATTAAAAACGCGTAAATGTTTTGCAATACTCATACGATAGGAGAAACATTTTTCACGAGAAATTAACGACCGATATTCTTAGCTTGAACCACCAAATTGGATCGCGTTCGATTAAGTTGCAAAAATCTTCGGAATTTATGACGTTTCGTTGGAGAAAATATTCATCGTTCCACCGTGTGTGTGTGTGTGTACATTTTAATCTGCGACTCCTACCTTCCTTGCCATTCCCGCGTAGTATAGTTTCCCCGTCTTCTCTTCTCCAGGTGATGTTCGGCGTGGGTGTGCCGTCAGCAGCGCAGCGCAACGTCACGTTGCTTCCCTCGTTGGTAATCATGTCCGTGCTCGTGGAATAATCTAAGATGTTTGGCGGAACTGGAAACAATAAAGTCACGAATTATTGATCAACGGATAACAGTTTAACGACGGGCTTCGCTGATGCATACAATGCTTCCTGTCACAGTGACACAATGAGAAGGGAACAAAGGAAATCGAAATAATAATAAATCCCATTATGCTGCGATTCTCATTGTTCCTGAATTAATTCAATTGCTATAGGGTTTCTTAGTATAATTGCTCTCGTATTCAGTATTCTATAATAGAATGAACCGATCGATATATTATATATATATATTAATATTAATATAATAATATAATAATATAATAATAATATTAATATTAATATATATATAATAATATAATAATAATATTAATATTAATATATATATAATAATATAATAATAATATTAATATTAATATATATATATAACTTTTTATATTTTTTATTTTTAAAAATTTAAACTCCAAAATTCTGAGATATCGTCTCTTCCGTGTCTCTTTTATAACACACAATTAAATATCGTCCGACTCTTATCCACTATTCATTCAGGCAGATTAAATTAGACACTAATGTAATGGGTAAAATAATTTATGAAAAGAACTTGCATATTGTTCGGATCTCGAGAAAATATCATGCTCGACTTTTTTGGAGGCCATCGTTCACTTTCGGGGCTAGAATTTCTCATAGCTTGCGAAATATTTTTGGTCGTTTGTCTCGGAAACTATTAATGGCGGGGGAAAAGTGTGAGCGTACTACAGCCGTGTTTTTTTGACGTTGAATTCACTCATGTAGACAGATTTGGAAAAAATTCATTTGTCTGCAAGATATGTTACACCGAGCCTCGATTTTGGGGGTTCTTTTTGCCCTCTGAATATGGATGACGACAGCTATTAAAAATACAAAAATGGTCCCGCAGAGAACAAATTTCGCCGTGTTGACGGTGGAATTGTGGTTATAGTTTCCAATGTTGCAAATAAATAATCGAAGTCGAATATTCTTATCGGGCTGCAGATCTTTACGCAAGTTCCCATTTTCACGGATTATTTTACAAAAATCAGGATTAGAGAAGAATTTATTTTGTCCACAAGAAAATTCTTTCTCACAGAAATAAAAGATAACGTCGTTAGTATTTATCTGTGGACAAATATGTTTTGCAATTTCGGACCCACCACAAATGCATGTAAGCTCCAATGCACATTATGTGCATATGAGAAAAATAAGTGACGGCAATTGAAAACAACGGAAAAACCAAAGAATAATGTCGAAGAATATCGATGCACCATTTACCTGTAAATATAATATAATATATATAATACAATATAATATATAATATATATAATATATATAATATATATAATATAAATAATATATATAATATATATAATATAAATAATATAAATAATATAAATAATATATATAATATATAATATTCACTAATTATAAATAAATATTAATTACCAAATAATAATATAATAATAACAATAGCATACATTTTTTATTCACCATAAATACGATATTAACCAATTTACTTGTAAATATGATTCAAAGGAATGTCTACTCGTCTCTTGCAATCGTTGCAAAAACTTGTAGCATAAAGATTTGCAGTCTACACATTTTTGTAAACGTATTTGTCCACTTCCATAAATAATAGTACATCGACGTTACCCACGACTGTAAATTTGTTTGCAAAGAAAATTCAGCGAACCAACCTACGACTTCCAAATAGCCAGTTTGGCTCTTCATCGGGTCGGTGTTCAGCTGGCACATGTACGCGCCCCTGTCCGACTTCTTGACGTCTCGTATGTGCAGGTGCCACGTTTTATGCTCGGTGTGCGTGACTAGGATCCTGTGATTCTTTGTAATCACGTGATTGGCTATCGTTAAAATCGTTTGTGTGTCCACGCGTAGCCATGCTACCTGTAACAACGGGAAACAAGAGAAACCTGTTACAATTCAGTTTTATCGCTCCATTTTCGCAATCTCTTCATCTGCAGCGCCAGAAAATTAGCGGTCCCGTTGCTGATTCGATTTCAGCAGCGTTCTATTAATTAGTTAACGCACATTCACCCCCTAGTAACATTTTTTTAAATATCTACAACAAATCGCGCACTCAAACGACGACTTTGTCCTGTAAATTCAATTTTTATACGGAGAAACACTCTGCTGGTATATATCAATTATTTATGCAAATACACATTTTTAGGAGCTAACTTTTAGAGAATGAAGTCCGAAGAAAATCGATTTGCCTTCTCGGAGCTGTTGAGAAAGTCTCAAATTCTGTTTAACCCTGAATTCACCGAGTTTAAAAATGGCTGTAGCGTGTGCTTTAATTGAAAAATATTTATTAAACCGTTTCCTACGAGAGAGCGTTCGTAATTTTAACGAGTTTAAAATTCGTACGAATGTCTTGTAGTCGATCGTGGCGTTCTAGAATATCTTTTTCCTAGTGTCTAGGTGAAAAAGGCACAAAATGAATTCCGATCAGCGGAAACTCATCGCCGCGTCATCGCGGATAGGTGCACGAGAAGAGGAGCTGCGATATGTCTGGTGAACCCAGCTGTACGCAGGGATGCTCAGAACAGTCATATGGCATCTCAAAGCATGTACATCGCTGTCATTCAAGCCATACCGTGGAAAGGAAGTTATTGTTGAGCATGGCACTATTGTAAATGTCTCATTGTCCCATTGTATCGTAAGAGCAGAATAGACATCGGACAACTCCGTTTCCCTGGGACGTTACAACTTCTGACATGCAACGGAATCTTGTTACTGTCTGTGCGCAAATTAGTCGCCTAACGGGTGGCCCGCGATATTACATTCGAACTAGAATTATTTTTCTTTTCAACTCTCAGCGGTTCCGTCGGGGCAGAACACATTTGATGATTCATATTCGTCGAATTTCCACGGTCGAAATATGCGACATAAAAGTTGTCTGCTATTAATTGCAAAATAGAAGCGCCACGTAGGAATTTGTTTCCTATTTTCTTTTTTTTTTAATAATTTCAATGAAAGTAATAAAGTATTATTTTTGAATTTTTTAGAAGTGTACTGTTTTACGCGTGACCTATTCAGTTTTGCGTGAAATGTACGAGAGTGATTACCAGAGTCATTAGAGTTAATAGTTATTGTTCTCCTTAATTATGATTCTCACTGTTATTGTCTGTGCATACTCATTCGGCAGCAGAAATGATCATTAATATGCTCTAATAGCTTATCCTTTTGATTCATAAAATATTAACGGAAGTGAATTGAAGAAGTTACTATTCATGCTAGACACTCGCTAGTGATAAATCGCTAGTAAATCGCTTAATATATCACTGATAAATCACTTATGTCTCTATTCGAAAGCCGAACATTCGCAGCGCAGAGGAGACAAATTTCATATCTCTGATATATTTGAATATATGTAGTTTCACAGCGAGTAGCACATTTCATTCCGTAATAAGAACAATTTCGTTGATTGTTCCGCCACGCATTGTGCATATTTCGATGGAAAGGAAATCATATTATTCCTCGATGATTGGGCACGAACGTTTCATACACTGAGGCCGGTTATAAGTACGGTGAAAGTTCATACTTTTGATCGAAAACCCGTGAACTCCGCAAAATTTGGAGAAATGACTAAAAATTCTGCACGATCTTTTGAAAGCAACTGTTAATATTATAAACTGAATAATATTATATTGATATTATATTATATATTAATTATAATTATTAATTAATTATATATTATATTATTATATATTAATTAATTATATATTATATTATTATATATTAATTAATTATATATTATATTATTATATATTAATTATATTAATATTATATTACACATGAATAATATTATATACTGAATCGTACGAAAGTGGATTCGTATGGATTTTTATTTCAGTGAAAAATTTACGAACTATACGTTATAGTAATTATATCGTGCGAACAAATGGACTGCATAATATACGCTGCAGAAAGTTGTCGAACACGTTCGAGAATTTAATCTGGCCTAATCCGAGGGATTGAAACTCAAACTTCGATTCTGCTAAAGATTGCGGTCGACGTGACAGTCGCATATAGAGCCTTCTTACAAATATTTGCAGACGCGCATGTCGTAAAATTCGCAGCAAATAGCAGCTGATACATAATCGTTATGTACAGAAAAGTCGATGTATACGTATACTATAGTAAATCGTTACATATGGGAAATGCTAGCACAGTGACACAGTTAGAGAACCGAAAAAGAAAAAGATGAAGTCTCGCTATGCATGTAGAACGATCGATGCTTCAAAGTACCTTTATAAATGTTGCGTGACGCTGTTGTATCTTGAACGTGGGGGCATTGTTTTACAGATCAGCGAGTCGAGTACTCCGACCATTTTGTGGTAAATGCGATTGCCTGATTCTTTTTCTTCCCTCTATTATATTCGACAAATTCTTTTTGTCACGAGCTGCATTTGCTATTTTCTATCATTATAACTAAATACTGTATTTTCAATCCTGAAAACGAACTTCTCGTTAAACTTGTTTAAATATTTTACTACTTTAAGATTTGAAATCCAGAAAATGAGATCTCATTCTAACGAACTTTTCAATGAATTTTTTCAAACATTTCCCCCTGCTGAGCTTCAACAGATGAAAAATTCACAGTTTACAAGCCAGTTGATAGGAATTGCGATCGGAAAAAAGATTTCTCCTCTGTGCCAGCGATTCCAGTCTAGCCTGAACGAGATAAACATCTGAATCTATAAACATTTTCCTGAATTGAGCTTTGAAGGGTAAAGAGTTACGTGTGCGCGATTTAAAATAAAACTATTTATTATCCAGGCTTTGGAACAGTATGTCATCTCGCTTGTAAACGGTCCTGCCATTGTTTTTGTTTTTTTACAAACCTCTGCACGCGTTCTTTCAATAACACCGACACAACGCCGATTTTTATAATAAAGAACTTACAACGGTAAAATCGACATTACCATTTTTATAGGTTATTTTTAGTAACAACATAATGAGAGAAAAATTTCTTCCCGGACATGGAGACTTTTATGACAGAGATAAACCGAAAGTAGTATTCATTTTTATTTCCTTGGTCTTCATGAATGTTCGCGTGCCATGCATAAAAATGTTTACTTTACTTTAAATAAAGTTTCCTCGTCCAATAATCCGGAATCGCTGCGCTGCCAAGAAAACAAATGTGTCTCACGAATTCGGGCGGATATCTGTTCCCTCCAGAAACGAATGTATAGCGGTGCGGTTTTAAAACGATTATACTTCTCGGACGCGCCGGGAGCCAATAAGGAATTTTGTCGGTGATTTCCGCAGCGGCAAAAAGTTCGCGAAGACTTTTCGGTCGACCCAGTAAATTCGGCAAATTACAAAATCGATCGCTAAACGGAATATAAAACGTTCCGCCGGTACGTTTCGAAAATAGGTTGTGCTTAGCCCAGACCGTGCTGTTCCTAAAACGGGAGACCGTTTGGACGGACGGTGTCCGGACTTTTATTATGGCAGGCTCGTATCTTACGCGGATTATGATAGCTACGTGGAATGCAGTTCGCGTCGCGAACGTGCGGAAATGCGCTAAGAATGCCTCTGAGCTACGATTATTTAGCTATTTACAGCGGGCCCGCACTCTTCGCTCCATTCGCCTTCCGTCTAGTCGTGCGTTTCCGTCGCGAGAACATGCGCCGCCATTGAAAAGAAACGAGCGAAATAAAAATTGATAATTAAGGCGCTGTGCCTGGTCAACGGTTTGAAAAACGTCTGGACCTTTAGGAAGCTTTCCTGGGAAAATGAATGCGCTTTTCTTTTAACCCCTTGCTGTTATACCGTTTCCTTCTCAGCTACAGTGATTAAAGCTAGAGTTGAGTATTATTCGAATGAATTGTTTCTAGTCGAATATTTTATTCGAATAATTCTTTATTGGAAAAAAATACTTTATATTTAATAATTTTCGTACCAATCGATTATTTCCTATATGAATTTCTGTACGAATAAATCCTTATTCGAATAAAATCGTATTCGAATACATTCTTGTTCTATTGAATTCTTATTCGAATACATTCTTGTTCTAATGAATTCTTATTCGAATACATTCTTGTTCTAATGAATTCTTATTCGAATAAAATCCTATTCGAATACATTCTTGTTTCAATGTATTCTTACTCGAATACATTCTCGTTCTCTCTAATGAATTCTTATTCGAATATATTCTTGTTGTAATGAATTCTTATTCGAATAAAATTTGATTCGAATGAATTCTTATTCGAATAAAATTTGATTCGAATGAATTCTAATTTGGATAAAATTTGATTCGTATGAATTCTAATTTGAATAAAATTTGATTCGAATGAATTCTAATTTGAATAAAATTTGATTCGAATGAATTCTAATTTGGATAAAATTTGATTCGTATGAATTCTAATTTGAATAAAATTTGATTCGAATGAATTCTAATTTGAATAAAATTTGATTCGAATGAATTCTAATTTGGATAAAATTTGATTCGTATGAATTCTAATTTGAATAAAATTTGATTCGTATGAATTCTTATTCGAATAAAATTTGATTCGTATGAATTCTTATTCGAATAAAATTTGATTCGAATGAATTCTTACTCGAATCAAATCTCATTCGAGCAGCAGCAGCATCCCTTCTAGAAGTTGTTTTATACAAAGTTTCCATACGGGTAGAAACGATTTTCGGGAGATCGAAATAAAAAGTTCACGGATGTTCAATATTAGGTCGCGTAGTGCGAAATCGCGAATTTATCGTCGAAGTTAGACAATGTTTAAAGTTGGAAACTCGTTAGCGAAAAAGTCTATACTCTATATCTTGATTAATATCAGTTTGCATTGAGAAACCAATCCTGCTGTCTCTTCGAACGATCCCATCTTTTACATTACACGGCCTAATATTTATATTCTTTTATT